GCAGCATATTATCTGTAATTTATATCAAATCTGCCTACGTGGTTTAATGCTGTATTACTGTAAACACGGTATAGTTTTTGATACTAATTTTACGCTTTTCTATTGAAATATATAGAAAAATAATATAGAAAAATAACGTTTTAAACCAATTTTATGGAGAGTTTCTTTAGAAAAGGTCAGATAACTTTTTGAAGACGTAGACGATTTAGTCAGGAATTTCAAAATGTCGAGATGAGGTTAAATTAAAATTATTGAAAAAAAAAAATCAATATGTCTTCTTTTTAGTTTTATTGCTAAATATTTTCAAAGTTCGCTTTTATATTGCCAAAATTTTGCGTTTATGGCGTTATTTATGACTTCAAGGTCTGGTATAACGTCATAAGTTGAACGTAATCGCGTTTACATATAAATATTTTTATAGTTGGAATGAGTAAGATCTAAAAGGATAGAAGCACGCTGTAATTTTATTCATCATTTCACTTACTGCAAAAAATGTTAGGAAGACCAGCAAGTTACATGCATCTACACTAATATTGTGAAATTCAATTTACAAAATGAACGGTATATCGATATGAACATTCATCGTGTATTAGAATTGATATACAGAGACAACAACACGAATAATAATATATTAATTCATGTATTTTTAGGATGTTCATGTTCATCAAAATTTCAGGCATAACACATGAATTTGATCACTTCATTCGAAAACGCCGAAGAAAAAAAAAACACACCATACTATCGAGAAAGGGAGGGGGAGGGGTTACCGGCAATGTTCTTTATATATCGGTCGCAACCCAGTATATCGTCCTAAATTTCAACCATTTTTTTTTTATTTTTCTTTAATATCATTCAGCTTATACACAGACATACTTTGCTACATAAAAAAAATGTACTTGATACTTGTTTTACGTAATAGTACATTATTATCTACTTACAGTGTCATATAGGTGTTTGTATAAATTCAGTGCCTTTGTACTGCAAATTACGTGCGCAGATACAACCTTTCCATGAATGTTTTCGGCTGAGCAATTTACGGTAACTTTCTTTTTGCATACCATAACTTTTACACTGACTCATATTGATTGACCTTTAGCGGTTTAGTATCAATTACGATATAGATTATTCCATGCATTGGGTATCGTATTCATTATTAAGGTCTTCCGCTCCAGGCGGAAGACCTTCTACTGATTCTGATGGTTAAGATTATTCTTATTAAGGTCTTCCGTCACAACGGAAGACCTTCTACTGATTCTGATGGTTAAGATCATTATTCTTTTTTTTTTCTTCTCCTTTCTAGACGCCAACTTTGAGGCCTCATATCTCGCTCATTTCTCAACGGATTTTGCTGAAATTTGCAGGGTTTGTAGACGTTACAAAACTCTATCAGAATGCTGTCAAACATGTCAAAAATCCACTTCCGCTTTTGAGTTATCTTCCTTTAAATGAAAATTTAGGACTCTTCATTTCCGGATAAAGGCTCCGAGACTACAAAAGCTGGAGTAGAAATTCTACCGAATTTAAATAATAGAAGCATTGAAGTTGTGCACATCTATTTTTGTTTTTTGATTTCTGTGTTCAAAATGGCACTAGATAGGGGTCAAAAATTAGAACGCCTAAAAGCGCGAAAATTTACACATATTTTCCTATGTATCTTTTAAACTAAAAATATTTTGTTAAGACATGTTGAATAAAAGTTGTGCACAATTTTAAGGTCTTTCATTTGGCACCTCCAAAAAGGGGCTGGTCCCTTAAATTAGGGATCTAGGGTCCTTCAAAGTTTTCGTCTAATAACTCAAAAACGGTAAATATTTCGATATAGCTGTCGCTAAAAAAGTTCTTTAACATATTATTGATCTCGTGAACTTGTTATTTTGTTCGAGTCTTTTTTAATAAATGAGCTAGAAGCTTGACCCATATACAGGTAACTAGTTTCATTAGACAAGTGAAGGTGAAATCTTTATGCGCATAACTGAAATAAACTTGCTATAAATGATAAACCTATCCAAAATAAATACTAATACTACTTTAAAATAAGATTTTACGTGTTCTGTGGTTTCATTCCAAATTATTGAGTCACACATTTTCAATACGTCTCGGGGTTTGTTTTTGTTTATAATTACGTAACCGGCCATCCCCCGATCACTCGTGACCTAGATCCAGTGATCAGTGGCCATACACTAAACAGGCATTGCCGTTCTAAATCTATTTTGCAAACTCAACTATGTACGGATAATTGTTTTTTTTTTTTTTAGTCAAATCGGATCTTTCAAATTATTTCATCTTATCTATGTTGGTCATGTTGGTGATATACTTATTAAATTATTGTGGCCGAAATTACAAGAGATCCATTGCGTGTGAACCAGTGACCTGCGTTCGTAAACAAAACATCTTTTCGTCGTTTAATGTTGACACATACACTATATTAAATTTAAAAAAAAAGTAAGCAAAAAATAAATCGGTCTTTAACTGCATTTAACTGCGTTTCACATATACCCGGGTTTTGTGTTTGTTTACAATTATGTAACCTAATTATGTAGCCGAGGAAGCAGCTATTAGTGCTCATACACAAAACATTGTCGTTCTATATTCATTTTGCTGACACGATGATTTACGGAAAATTATTTTTTAAATCATTCCGGATCATTCAATTAAATCATTTATTCTTATCTTAATTTGATTTAATTTAAATCCAAAACATTTTATTAAGGACGTATAAAGGTCCCCGATTTCATGAATCCTAATCTTTAAACTGCATACATGTATTTAATAAACGATTTATTTCTCAATTATGTGTTATTATGTGTTTAATTTCGGAAATTCATTGCGTGTGGTTAATTCTGCAGATAATTCTAACTTGACACACAAGGTTTGTAGACAAAGAATTCAAAAGAGATATATTTTGAAAACAATAAGACGCATTGCTAAACACTTTTACATTATTTACTTTTTAAAATGGCTATCTTTATGATTACACCAACTTTTAACATGCTGTGTGAAAAACTCTGTCGACTATAGTTTTGTACATGTGCTTTTTATTAAACACCCAATTTTCCATTAACGCCCACAAAATCTACCTAGCTTAAGATCGATAACATACCGCCCGACAATCATACAAAAATAAAACAAAAGCTGCTGATTTGATTGACAGGTCAGCAACCTGCGCTACCTGATACTGTAGTCTGAGTTTGCATGTTTTGAAAGCAATTACACGTACCTGGTCACGCGTCAAACGCTTTCATGTACCGCTTGAAAAGTCGCTTTGTATACACTCTGGTAAAAACTTATATCTTTGTTGGTAATTATGTTTCACAAAATAATTGAGAGAAGAGAATTAAACTTTGATTTCATTATTTTTATTTTCACTGCTGTTTTGTACACTGTACTTGTACGCGATATGTCGTCCAAGATAACTGTACAGCTTTCCGAAGAAAAAAAAAAACTGGCGGCTATTCGAGCCCCTTTTCGCCTTCAATGTCCTCTTCAAAACACACCTGTTTACAGAGAAGAGATCATAATATTCAATAAAATATTTCATATTATATGTAATCTGATTTTCTATGTATAAGTATCTGAAAGGCTATATTGTGCTGAATTTTTTAAAATGCGTGTTTTATGTAATACATATTTTTTAGCATACGATAAAATATCGCCAACACTATAAGCTTAATTATTTCTAATGTCCAGAACTGTGTAACGTAAATGCCATGCATTTAAGAAGTATGTTAACTTTTTATAATTTAATTACACTTGCACACACGGTTCAAAAAAAATGTACAAGGAGTACATATACATGGACTTGAATATAACAAACTTATTAGCACATCTAATGATGAAAATGAAATAATTGATAATACACTTTTACAACTTCATTTCAATGATAAGTTATTCTTAAACTTTACTTCAAATGTCAGAAAGGTAAGCACAGTCAAACTACTGTTAATTGTCTCTGTTTTAATTACAATGTCAATCACAATAACTTTTTTCTTTAGATCCCTTCATTTCTTATTTGTACATAGTTACATGAAATCCATGCACGGCGCTACACCTGTCAATCAAAATTGTAAACTTCTGGTGCCACGGAAGCATTTCCTCTGTGGTGTAAAATATTCTTTAGGTCAATTCTGATTTTACGCTTTTATAGATACTGTGTAATATTTCGAAACAACGTTTAAATTAAGGCTGAAGATGCATGCTGTGAATTTATCAAACCTGCAGTCCTAATTGACGATCCGTTCTTACATGTATATTATAAATAATCAGAGAGTTCAGTATCTGTGACAAATTTTGATTGAGATTTCACTTTCCCTTTAGGATAAAACGATTCATTAAATAGATTATGCATATGAGATGGACACTGCTTGAAAAAACACCTTTACAAAACTTTACTTGCCAAGTAAATCTCTTTAAAGGTGCTCAAAAAAGCAAGGTCATCTTTGTATTAACTTTACAAAAAGTAAAGGTGAAAAGGTAACCTTTACTTAAACGAAAAGGTAATTAAATTTAACCTTTCACCTTTAATGCTGCATTAAAGTTGAGATATATATATATGAAACTTTTTTAAATCCTTATTTAAATACTGGCCTTTGTTTAATACACTCTACTTAAAGATTTCAACAAATGGTTTTTGACTTTTAAAATAAATAGGTGCCTGGTGTGTCTATTGTGATACCCCCAGGTCATTTTTGTTAAACTCGATCTTACTAAAAATGCACAAATTTTCAAGCGTTATATCAATTTCCAGTTGTATTTAGTATTAGAGATTGTCATCTATAAAATATGAAAATTATACTATTTTTGTATACTATAGATGGACAATCAAAAATGTAAAAATGGTATCAGATATCAGAATATAGATATAATAAACTTTAAAATCCCCTATGACGCTGATATCTGATAGATGGAGAACTCTTTTTTATTTGCTTTTAGTGTAGATATATTGAAACCTTTTCTGTTATAATTTCTGCTTCATAAATATCTACCAAAAACAGTTACAAACATTACAAGATTACATCTTTTACTTGAACAGGCAATAAAATGACAAAGAATAAAATTAAAAAGGTTAAAATACAATACAATATTATTTATCCTTTATGGTGGATGTACATGTGTTAAAACTTTGCAGTTTAAATGGAACTAAAAATGCCATACTCAGTTATTACTCAAGATCACTGACGAGTAACTACACAACATAAATCAGGCAAAGTACTAGCATTTCCAGCTTAAACTATTAAAGGCTATCTAATGAGTATTTATGTACAGGTTAATAATGTTGACATCTTGTAAGCATAATGGTGCAATTTACATATTCACAAAATAAACAAAATTGCTTAAACGCCTATTAGAATATAGGTTCAGATGTAGTTTTGCAAGATGAATAAGTAAATGCGTGTGTCCAGCTTGACGCAGTGAGCCTGTTTGAGCTTGACTTTATACTTGGACTAAATGTTACGTGTATTGTGTCTGTGGTAGGAGATTATGTTTGCATACGTGTTCATCTTCACACGCCTTGGAAAATATGTAACTAGTGGTAGATGCTTGAGTGTTTGCATATGTGTCCAGCTTCACACATTTTCATGTATGTGCTCGACTTCACACGCCTTGGAAAATATGTAATTGGTTGTGATAGATGCTTGTGTGTTTGCATATGTGTCCAGCTTCACACATTTTCACGTATGTGCTCGACTTCACATGCCCTGGAAAATATGTAATTGGTTGTGATAGATGCTTGAGTGTTTGCATATGTGTCCAGCTTCACACATTTTCATGTATGTGCTCGACTTCACACGCCTTGGAAAATATGTAATTGGTTGTGATAGATGCTTGTGTGTTTGCATATGTGTCCAGCTTCACACATTTTCACGTATGTGCTCGACTTCACATGCCCTGGAAAATATGTAATTGGTTGTGATAGATGCTTGTGTGTTTGCATATGTGTCCAGCTTCACACATTTTCATGTATGTGCTCGACTTCACACGCCTTGGAAAATATGTAATTGGTTGTGATAGATGCTTGTGTGTTTGCATATGTGTCCAGCTTCACACATTTTCACATATGTGCTCGACTTCACACGCCTTGGAAAATATGTAATTGGTTGTGATAGATGCTTGTGTGTTTGCATATGTGTCCAGCTTCACACATTTTCATGTATGTGCTCGACTTCACACGCCTTGGAAAATATGTAATTGGTTGTGATAGATGCTTGTGTGTTTGCATATGTGTCCAGCTTCACACATTTTCATGTATGTGCTCGACTTCACACGCCCTGGAAAATATGTATTTGGTTGTGATAGATGCTTGTGTGTTTGCATATGTGTCCAGCTTCACACATTTTCATGTATGTGCTCGACTTCACACGCCTTGGAAAATATGTAATTGGTTGTGATAGATGCTTGTGTGTTTGCATATGTGTCCAGCTTCACACATTTTCATGTATGTGCTCGACTTCACACACCTTGGAAAATATGTAATTGGTTGTGATAGATGCTTGTGTGTTTGCATATGTGTCCAGCTTCACACATTTTCATGTATGTGCTCGACTTCACACGCCCTGGAAAATATGTAACTGTGGTTGTGGTAAATGCTGGAGTGTATGCAAACGTGTCATGTTTCACACAGAGAGAAAAGTTTTGTGTTGTCTTTTCTAGAAGATAATGATTATTTAAGTATACTCCAAATAAATCCTCTAAAGAAATGGATAATCATAATGAGTTACATACCAAGTTCCTCAGTGCACAATATACATAATTTTACTGAAAATTAAACTTGTGCAAAAACTCTCTTGCTGAATAACTTTCATTATTATAAATGCTTGAATGTTCATCTATATATTTTCAGATATTTTCTAGTCAGTGTATATATTCTTGATCAAGATGGCATCCACATTTGATTCCCCTCTCTGTCATCTTTTCTTGGTCACTAATTAATTCAACAGTAGGCTGGGTACTCAGATCTCTCAGGTGTTGGACAAAAGAAGTGCTAATAAAAAACATAATCTCCGAAATTATAGAGAATAACATCCATTTCTTTTCCAGGTTTGCATTAATTAGTTATCTTTTGAAATTAAAGCACATCTGCAATATCCTTGAAAATTTGCCAAGATACCTAAAATGTTTGTAGCATGCTTTAACTACTTTAATTTTATTTTTGGAAGTTTAGAATAATAGAAAAGTGAGTTCAAATATAAAAATAAGATGTAAAAGATCTTAATAATGAAGATTCATTTACACAATGTGATAAACATTGAAGTCAACTCCTCACCTGACTTGCTTGTAATTTATCTTCAAAATGGAGTTGATTCTGTGATGATCACTTTCAATCATTTGAAAAAAACTTCTTCATCTCAAACTATCTGAAGGTCATCCATCTTCCCAACTGCCACTCACCCAAAGTGTACCGAGACTTCTGACCTGTATAATACCCAAATTCAAGATTAAAATAAAAAAAAAATCTCTTCACTATATTGGTCTCTAAAAAATGTGAGAAAATAATTTTAAATACTTTTCTAAAGATGGAATAATGTAGTGAGTATCTAACAATGTTTAAAAATATTTTGATCTCTGTACAATGATAACATGAAAAAGTCATGTCCCTTATATTTGAAAAAAAACTTCCATTCTTAAGGACATTACCCAACATGGAAATAATGTACATTTGTCTCTGGCACAACCAATCCACAAGAGACCTCTCCATACTTAGCACCATGCATTAGTTCTCCACTCTTTGTTTCTACAAAAGATAAATTATGAAAAGGTAATTTTTTGACAGCTAAGTCAGATTAATTATTTTCCAGCCAGTGATGAACAGAATATTTGATTTCCTTAAAAATCAGGGACAGATTATTCATGTTCATCTATAATGAACAAAGTTTGACACCCCCCCCCCCCCATTGCCACTACAAAAGGAAAAAAATAAACTGACTCAGAACCTCTTATTGCAGTGAGGAAAAGGCAATAATGGAATCAGACAAGGAAAGATTATTATTCATTTTTTCAGTTGAGATGAGATTATATCTTTTAAACATTTTTACATTTTTGAGGTTAATATATCTTTAACCCCCCCCCCCCTCCCCGCATCAAACAAAAAATAGTCGCCCCTTTATTTAGCTGTCCTAAATCTATAACAAAATTTTTATTATGATGATATTTTTTCATTTTAATTTATTATATCCTGACACTGATACACAGTGGTAGTAGATGCAACAAATTAAGAGGTGACCCCTCTTCTTCCCTCCCTCCCCTAGATGTTTCGTCTGAAATGTTAAACGACTCTTGTTCAATATCTTGAAAGACAGAAAACAGTTATACACAACAAATAAGCACATTTTCATTACCTTGCAGTCAGTGTCGAGTGACACACGTAAACAACATCCCGCAATCTCTTTCAGTCTTTGTTTATTCTTGGCGGAATTTTGTAGCCTTGTAGACTGGTTCCCATACATTGCAAGTGCCCTGAATAAGTCATACGCTTATTAGTTTTGTTTATAAGAGGTAATATCAGTAATATGTCCCGTTCATTTGACAACCTTTACTTTAAAATACTGAATTATATATTATCGTATTATACAGATGTTTCCACCTCAGTATTGTGTAATCCTCTTCATCCAAGTCTTCTCGAATACAAAAAGAACGATCTACTTTTAATAGTAACCCAAATATGGCACTGTGTATTCGGTTGAATAGCCAATCATTTCAAATTAAGTTGAGCGGGTCTCATCGGATTTTCTGGTATTTTTGACGAAAATATGCAACCAGTGATCAGTTGACTTGATACCTTTTCATCTACCGCTAGAATTAAGGAGGTTATTGCTTGGAAAACTGCTCGAGCTCCGGGGCTGGCATGCACTGCAGGTTTGTTTACGTTTTCCATCTGTTTTCAGCATACATTGTGGAACATTGAAACAGATGAAAGTCAGGAAAAACTACGCTAAATATGTATTTTAGATAAGTTACTTGATAAATTGGGGATGATGTTCCATTTTTTTCTGTAAAGGATCGTGGATTAAACAAGACCAAGAAAAACAATTCTAGGTCACAGTTTTAGAATGTTTAGCAGTTTACCTGTTTACATTAGTGCTAGAAAAAAAATAGAAGCCAGGGTAGGGGCAATGTTCTTAATAGAGGGCAAGTTAGATATAATTTTGTATTCTAAACCATGTCCATTTTTCAAAAACAGGTACAGTGAAATCAATTATGCAGGTTCTTGAAGAAAGTCATGGATGACAACAATGTATGATTTACCAGACCAAGGGATACCAATGTTTTTTGACAGTACTTGTACGTATTAGTTTTTTAAAAAAATCAATAAATAGTATCATAAAAATGTTACTTAAACAATTATTTACATTATCAATTACTTGACTTGTTCAGGAGTCAGTATAATTATACATTTCTGTTTTCAAAAAATGTGTTATGACTTTTTCCAGGCTCCAGCTACTCAGCTTACTGTGAGAGAGTTAACACCTTATTGACAGATCTTTCATGAAGAAGAAACACTTGAGAAGGGTTCAATAGTTTAATTTTATAGATGGCAAGTATTGCTTGGACCTAAAGTATTCTTTAATTGTGAAGAAAACAAACGTAAGGGTGTTCGGCAATTCATAACTATTGACTGTGATTGTATTGTGTATTTTTAAAATCATTCTTTGGCATGCTTCAAACTCAAATGTATTTATGAAAACATTGACTATATTTCTCCAGATGTATGAAATGTTTATCAAAGTATGAATTCCATTTTAGCATGTTATCTTCAAAATGAGGGACCTCTCAAATTTACAATTCCAAGATCAGGAAATAATTCATGAGCAGCAACATGCTACTGGGAGAAAGGTACATATATCATAAACCATAACTTGAGTATCATACTATAGCTGAATAAGCAGCAACTATTGGTCCTTTTGTTACCTGATTACTAAGAAGGAAAATGGAGTTAATTATATGTGTTCAGAAATTATGCATAGATACTGATGCCAGTACTTTTTCACAAATTATCTTGCAAGTAAGACAACCATTTTCCAATTCTGCAAAAGTATTTTAGCTACAGAAGGTCACGAGAAATCTTATATTACTCCTGCATTAGTATATTTTGTAAATAATCCTTTCAAAAGAAAAATTAGGTAATGATAAACAAAGAAATTACAGTTATTAAATATTAATCTTAGGGGTAAGATAAGGGCTAGTGGCCCAGTCCATTTATATCATAAAATAAGTTAATAACAACATGTTCATCTGTTTGTATCTGTCTTATTTAATAAGATTAACATTGTCTTTTTGGTAAAAATAAAGGCTGACATTAATGGTTCAAAATATTTTCTTTTTGAGGTTAAAGGTCATGTATGAAATTTTTATTTATTAATGTGGTTGCATCTTGTTTCAATTTTGATTAGTCATGATACTGTGAATACTGATATCACAGTTTATTTGAATTTATAACACAGATGCCTATGAAAATATTCATATTCATGTCACTGAAAATATATTTTTTTTTTCTTTTAAGGAAAATAGTAGAAGACTGCCTGCATGAGAATAAAAGTTTTGGACTCTGAAAAGGAAGATGTGACAAAATATATATTTGGACAGTTGTTGATTTCCACAGAAACACATGTCCAGTAACAAGAAAGCGGAGCACAGTTTCATGTCAGTTCAAATCTTTAAATTCAAGGATGAACAATTGGTTCTTTATAAAACAAAATGACATGTTTGAAAAGGATTTTGGTGAAATGTACTCTGTCCTGGATACTTATTTATGTGTATGGGATTTGCAGGATAGACTATGAACAACAGATACTGTCACGAAATTTGATGTTTTTGATTATATGTTTGTATAAAAATGTTTGGTATAGTAATAAACAAAGTTTAATTCAATTTGTTGTTACTTAGTATATTAAGGAAGGAAAAGCTTATTTATCATATGCACAAGCTTTATTCAGAAGAATGGAAAACAGTAATTATTAACTTTTGTGGCTATTAAAGATGGTATTTAATTAAATTTAATATTTGTAATTATCAGATTTAATGTACCCCAAATACTGTGTTTATTGTTTGTAAATATTAACTTTACTTTTTTGTAAAGTCAAGAAAAAGTGGGACATTACATCATATTTAAGTGCATGTAAAGTTAATGTAAAGGTTACCTTTTCCAACTTTGACTTTTTTCAGAAAAGCCAATTAAAGGCATTGTAAATATTAAATTTACATTATCTTTACTTGTTTTGTAAAGCCAAATTTTCATGCAGTGGGATAGCTGTACTACATATAAATGTATACTTTTCACTTTGTAACAAGAATCTGTCATTGACAATTAAAAGTGAAGAGTTTAGGTAAAAGACTTTGACAAATGACAAGTTATTCCTTCTTAGTCACTATATAGCTTAAAGCTATATGGTCGTGCCCCCCCCCCCTCCCCCGCAATTATGTTTTTATCTTTATTAATTTTTTTTTTTTTTTAACTTAGATATCAAAAAAATTTGATTGTTTGTGCCCCGTCCCAGAAAAAAATGAAATTGCGTTCTACAGGCTTAAGTCAGAACATGATTTTCATAATGATAATACATTTATCAAAATGTTTCTACCCCTACGATTCGTAGTTGTGGTTTCGAATACCACCACGTCGCCCGCGTGGCGCAGTGGTTTGAGTGTTTGCTCTAGAGTCGCGGAGTAAGGAGTTAATCTTTACGTCGTGGGTTCGACTCCCTCTGCGGGACGTGGAGACCGGTCCTTTGCATGAGACCGTATAAACCGAGGTCCCGTGTAGCAGTAGATGTTGGGACGAAAGAGATCCCTCACTGCTCAATGGCCTTGAGTGTCGAGTATAGGTCTGAATTTGCAGCCCTCCACCGGCAAGTGGTGGCGTTTCCATATGAGTGAAAAATCTCGAGAGGGACGTTAAACAACACACAAACAAACAAACTATTCCACTACGGGACGTGGAGACTGGTCCTTCGGATGAGACCGTATAAACCGAGGTCCCGTGTAGCAGTAGGTGCTGGGATGAAAAAAATCCCTCACTGCTCAATGGCCTTGAGTGTCGAATTTACAGCCCTCCACCGGCAAGTGGTGGTTTTTCCATATGAGTGAAAAATCTCGACGGGGACGTTAACACACAAACAAACAAACAATTTCACTACAGAACGTGGAGTATGGTCCTTCGGATGAGGCCGTATAAACCGAGGTCACGTTTTAGCAGTAGGTGCCGGCATGAAAAAAATTCCCAACTGCTCAATGGCCTTCAGTATCGAGTATAGGTCTGAATTTGCAGCCCTCCACTGGCAAATGCTGGCAGCTCAAGGGACGTTAAACAACAAACAGACAATCAAACAAACATTTTTGTGTCGCCTGCAGAGCAGAGCAGCACTTAGCGATCAATTTACCTGGCGTCTGTCTTGCTGTCCGTCTGTCTGTCACACCTTATATCTCGAGAAATATAAGAGGTATGGGTTTGATAATTTGCACATATAGCTTGACACTATGGCTTTTGTATTTTTCCATGGCTTCCGACCTAGATATCCTTGAACTTGACCTTTGACCTACTTTTCAAAATAACCAATAATGCCGATATACAACTTCTTTTTGATATTTATGAGGTAAGTCTATGCTATTTAGAGTGTGCACTGTTTGTCATAAAACATTTTGAAAAATACCAGCGTTACAGTTCACTTGACCTTGACCTTTGACCTATTTTGTAAAATATACTGCGGAGGGTTAAATTTAACTTATGTCTTTTGAAATTACAGAGGCAGGGTTTAATAATTAACAGTTATACATGTTTATGATCTCATGACAATGTATTTTGACACTGTATGAAATAAAGAAACCACAAAAACTGAAATTTAAGTACTATGAAAATACAACGGGATCGGTATTCCAAAATGGATGGTGTAGACTGACAATTGCTGATATGAAAGACTGAAGCCTCTTTCGAAGGATTGTTGAAATCACGTACTTAAATAACTTATATATAATTATTTATAATAAATTTATTCAAATTTCATTAATATCCATTTTAGCTTTCAGGGGTTAAGGATTTGCATTTCTATTTGATTGTTAGATTCTATCGCAGTCTTACTATCCCTGGATTGTTTTGTTTTGTTTTGTTTTTTTGGCATGAACTTTTCAATGCCTTAGCAAATAAATAGCTGATAACTTTTAGACTTAGTTACATCTTTAATGAAGCTAAAAGCAGGCGACACATGCGTTCCTGGGAACACTCTAGTTCTGTAAGAAATCAGCAAAGATAATTAAGCAGAGATTTTTGATGAATAAAATGGGTTTTTTAAACCTTTTTTATAACGCTGACTATATATACATGTATGGTCTGCGTTATAAAACATGATGTGATAGGGTAACGTAATGCACCTTGTACACGTACTCAAAGATGCCGACGTTTTTCAATATCGAAATTGGACATAAAACATATATACAATAAAATTTGAAGCCAGTTAGTTAAAAGTAATAAATTACAACTATATGGAAACGAAATGAAAAAAACATATGTAAACTTGTCAAATTGGAAACACTCAGAATGGGTATTGTTGGTATCATACAGACTGTGTCATGGCCTTGACTCAAGTTCAACGTCACTAAGAACAAGATGCTTTTACTGGATGTGTGGTCTGAAAGAACATGTGTTAACTTGTCAAGTCGGTGACACAGATAGGTTTGCGTCATAACCAGAGTGTGTCATGGCTTGACGCAAGGTCATCTGGACAAGTTCAAGGTCACGAAATAGAAAGTGTACATTATTTTATTGTCTTTCTACTGGCGAAGCATTGCAAGTTGATAGTCCCTTAAAAGATTATTTATCATCTTAGAATATGGCATGACCTTGACTCAAGGTCACTGCTCCAACGGAAGACCTATTCGTTGCTCTGCAACGAGCTCGGCTCTAGTTATTCTTTTTTTTTTCCTAGACGCCAACTTTGAGACCTCATATCTCGCTCATTTCTCAACGGATTTTGCTCAAATTTGCAGTGTTTATAGACGTTACAAAACTCTATCAGAATGCTGTCAAACATTTCAAAAATCCACTTCCGATTTTGGGTTATTTCCCTTTAAATGAAAATTTAGGGGGCTTCATTTCCAGACAAAGGCTCAGAGACTACAAGAGCTGGAGTAGAAATTTTACAGAATTTAAATAATAGAAGCATTGAAGTTGTGCAGATCGGTTTTTGTTTTTCAATTTCTGTATTCAATTTGGCGCTAGAGAGGGGTCAAAATTAGAACGCCTAAAAGACCGAAAATTTACACATATTTTCTTTTTTATCTTCTAAACTAAAAATATTTTGATAAAACATGTAGAATAAAAGTTGTGCACAATTTTAAGGCCTTTCATTTAACACCACTAAAAAGGGGCTGGCCCCTAAAATTAGGGACCTGGGGCCCTTTAAAGTTTTTGCTTTATAACTCAAAAACGGTAAATATTTCGAAAAAGCTGTCGTAATTAAAGTTGTTATTTAACATCTTATTGATCTCAAGAAAACGTTATTTTGTTTGAATCTTGTGTTCTAAATGAGCTAGAAGCATAACACATATACAGGTAAGTGTTTCATTCAGCAAGTAAACAAGAGCTCTTCATTCCTGTAATTAAAATAAACTTACTATGAATAATAAACCTAGCTACATTAGATGCTAATATTCTTCAGAATCAGGTTCTTGAAGTATTCTGAGCTTTATTTCCAAATTATTTACTGACAACTTTCCCTTTTTATTTCGTTTGTTTTCAAATTTGGATAAACCAGTCTACTAAACAGGGGAAAAAAAGATAACCTTTTCTTCTTATCATATAAAAACAAACAATAAAGTTAGAAAATAAAACAAAACTTTAAACATAGACTATTCACAGCCATTAAGTACACGCCTTTTACATTCACCTTCTGTGTTTACAATTATGTAACCTCTCCCTCGATAGCGCCTGGCAAAGGAGGTCACCGAGGATCAATCGGCGTGTGAACCAGCGACCTAAGGTCGTACACAAAACAAACCATAGAATGGCCATTCCAAATACATTTTGTAAACTAAGTGATGAGTGGATAAAAATGTTGAATCTTTCAGATTATTTCATATCTTTGATTAAGTCGCTAGTACAGTTCAATTTATATTTTATTCGCTGAATTACAAGAAAGTTGCATATTTATTTTTATAAACATTGTATTTCTCGATATCGAGATAATTGCGCTTTGTGGAAAATTACTTTAAAATAATTTCGAATTTTTCATATGATTTCGTCTTACTGTTTATCACTCGCTCGTTTTAATCAGCTAGTCTTAACTGACTTCAAATTCAATGCATTTTTAATGCCGAAAAGACCACTTTGTTTGCGTATTAAAGAAACAGTTTATCTATCTCTCTAATAGTATTATTTAACGAGTTGCTATTTCTTTCATGAACATTAAACAGCATGTATATAATTATCACGATAATTGTACGTAGAGGTCATATTTTTAATTGTCAGGAAAATCGAAAATAAAATTAAGTACTTTTGAGTTTGTATTATTTTCTTCCTAACTTACAATATTATGCATACAAAATACTAGATCGGACGCAAATAACCTAAATATTTCACTTGTATTTGAAAATTCTATCGAGCGTCAAATGAATTTTACCCGTTAAGAAGTGTACAAAAAAAACCATCCTATGCAGTTTTCTTTGGGAATCAATTGACTTAGATAAGTCTACTCCGACATGTGTTGACAAAACTCACGCAATGAGAAGCCATACATTTCAAACTTGTGACATCTTGGTCAGTGCATGTGAAGATTACGCATGGCAATTAGTGTCTGGAAAACGAAGTATGTTTTATAAATGATTTGGCAGGTTAAGATTTGTTCTCATTCCAAATTAAATACAAACACAAACCCATTATTTTC